ACCCTACAACACCCTGCAGTGTACACACCCTACAACACCCTACAGTGTACACACCCTACAACACCCTACAGTGTACACACCCTACAACACCCTGCAGTGTACACACCCTACAACACCCTGCAGGATACACACCCTACAACACCCTGCAGTGTACACACCCTACAACACCCTGCAGGATACACACCCTACAACACCCTGCAGGATACACACCCTACAACACCCTGCAGTATACACACCCTACAACACCCTGCAGTATACACACCCTACAATGCCCTGCAATATTCGACAAGAGAAGCATACCCATAAATTGTCAAATTGCTTGAGCTACTCAAGTTGTGCACAAATCCTTTTTAATAATTACAAATTTAGCCAGTTACTTGGTTTTTAAATATTATTTTTGTTTTGATTATAGCTAGTTGTATCATGCTTTATTGAAGTTGGTTCAATGTAGAATCTTTCCAGTATTTATTTACTGTACTGTACTTAACTATGGTAGACAACTAGAAAGACTTACTGACATTTGTTAATTAAGTTGCAAGTTAACATTATGAAATGTTCGAAGAAAAACAAATTTGGTCTGAAGCTGATGGAATATATTGTTATAGACCATGGTGCGGTGATAATTATGTATATTGAAATTATTAAATCAGGAGAATGAGATTTTAATATTTTCAGAGATGGGTTAATTTTGACAATATAACAATAATGTTAGGTCATGATGGACTTTTATGCTATCAGTATGTTTTGCAGTATGCTGTATATATAAAAGCATTGATGGGGGAATGTTATAGAGATGTGCAGTCTACAATACTGAGCATGTAGAAATGACAGAATCTATATATTACTTTGTGTTAATGCTGTATTTTGAATATTTACTTTCGTAAGTACAGTACTGTGCATTAGTATAAGAAATCTAGTTATTATTATGTAAATGGCATGTAATATAATGTGCAACATTTGTTGCTGTGTTTGTTAGTACAGTGATGTGTTTCCCTGTGCTGTGTTCTACTGTATTTTTTATGCATGTAATTTGAAAGCCATTTAGAAATTTGCATAAAAAAATAGGTACAAGTACAAATATTCATCTGACAGATAAACTAATTAATTATCAGAAGTGTGACTTTATATGATTATTGTATATGACTATTAAATAAAGTTTGTAAATTATGATAAAGAATTTTCATTTACAGTATTTAAATGGAAGTTGCATTAGTTTGAAAAATATTGCTGAAAAAACCTCAGCATTATTGTTTTGTATGTGGAAAGTATGATTTAAGATATGTAATAAAGGCTTACAATGAGGAATGTGTTTTGACAACCAAGTTGAATAAGGTGAATATTTGCTGTGCATGAACATTTATTGGAGGAAACAGACTGTGGTGAAGGATTTGTATTCATTGAAGCCTAGGGTCATGTTGGCTGGGATCCTCACTACAGGGTTGTACCATAGATTAACTAAGCACTACCCCCAAGAGTTTGCCTTGTATAGACTTATAAAAGGTACAGGTTGGCCATCACTAATCCATCAGTCGGTAATCCGGCACTAATTTCAGCTAGCATAATTTCAAATTTCCAGGGTCGCCACACCAACTTGCTGCTACTGTTTGGTGGTGCTACTTGCTGCACAAGTCATTCCAATTTCTTTTCCTCCATTTATTGTTATAACCTGCTTACATTTAGCCCTAGCCATGGTTCGAATGAATAAAAGAAATGCTTCTCGTGTAAAACGCACACGCCGTACATTGTCCATAAAAGATAAGGCGGCTGAAGCCACTGTCAGTCACCATGAGCTCAGCTCACTTAGATAAGCTGAGACTAGTAAATTTGGGCCTACATATGACAGAATAGTTCTCTGTGGTAAGTGTTCTCTGCATAAAAGAAAATCCTGCAGCATGGAGTGCATAATGCAAAAAAACTGCAACCGTGTTTTTAGTGTAAAACAGCGACTTTGCAGTGCATTTTCGTATGGTTTTTTATTTTATAGAATGGAGGTATATTACAGAAATAGATGTGATTTTGATTGGTTTCACAACGGAAAGTAACTTTGAAATTGAGCTCAAAAGTAGCGGAAATGTTCGATTTTTGCCGATGTTCAAGAGTAAACAAACGATGTCACCATCCATTACGTGTCCAACTGGCCAGTCTAATACGCAGTCAAGAATGGATTGGCATTATTTATACAATTATTACAACAGTGCAGTAGTCTACATAACAGTAAATCTTCTATTTTTTTGTGTGAATAAAAATTCAAAATGGAAAGCAAGTGTAATATAAGAGGGGCCTGGAGACATGATTTATGAACAGAGAAAATGTTATTTTAGTGCCAGGAATGTCTGCATTGTTTATTCCGGACCCTATTTTGAAATTGGCATCTCTTGAAATTTGTGTGAAATTTGCCAAATTACTGATTTCTGACCATTTTATTGGATAGTTGAAATAGGTAAAGTAAGTAAGTTTATTCAGGTATACACAAATACAGTTACATAGAATTATCATACATAGCAGCATATGTGTAGAGTGGTTTCTTGTACTTAATTTACAGAATTAAAGGAATAGCAAAATGGCTATGAGTTTGGTAAATTGGAACAATGGAATGGGCCAAAAATAGGGTGTAAAGTGGGTGAAATCACCGTTAGTTTAAGTGTATTCTAATCTAACCACTCTATAATCTGGCAAAATCACTAATCCGGCACCCTACAGGTCCCGATGATGCTGGATTAGTGATGATCAAGCCGTAATTGTTTTCCTCATCTTGAAATTTGCTTACCCTTAGAGCTGTGGTTCTTCATTGGGTAACATAAGGCCTGGACTTTTCACTTAGCGGTGTCTAAACTTATAAAAAAATTAAATCAAATACTGTACCGTAATTTGCTTTATTGAATTGCTTCACAAAACCTTTATGCTGTATGACTAATTTTTTATTGTAGTGATATACAGTATTTATTATGTTCCCAAGGTAGATGCTTTATTTTGGTTAGTCTACATCAGCTAACCTAGTCCTGAGCAACAAGCAGTTGTGGTGAGCTGATAGAGATGGAAGGAAGAGAGGGTATGAACATTTATGACAATTATATAATGACTTGCCTGAATGAAAAAAAATATGAACGAGTTTACAAAAATCCTATGTAGACTAATAAAAAAATTAATAAATACCTAAAAGAAATTTGATAAATTGAGTGATTGGAGTGACAGATGGTGGGATTTTGTTGAATACCATATAATGAAAATGGGAAAAAATTGTCACCTTAAAATTACTTACATTAAATTGTGAAAAATTCTTGCTACACCTCAGCACATTTTTAGCAAAAATTTAGAAACTAGAATGCTCTGCATACAAGGGACTTTTGGCAATTACACCCAATCACTATAGTATTTCTTTGTACAACTATGTATCATGTCCAAATAAAAAATAAATATGAAAGGTATTATACTATGGACAGAGGAGGAGTTGTTGAGTTGATTTGGGCTGACCAAGATGGTGTAGTAAGCCTGGGTGGAAGGAGGGATGTGGAGGTTTTAATAGTTGCAGGAATTCAAGCATTCAGCAGGCATATGTGAGCATGTTGCATAAGGGTGAGTGGGGTACAAGTAGTTTTAGGGATTTGATGTGCTGTTGGAGATGGCCAGAGTGTTTAAAAAAAGGGAAGTTTTTCGTAGAACTTCTTCATGTACAATGGGCTTTCCTTGGAACATGTAAATATTGTTTTCCCAGAATGATACAAATCATCGTAATGTTCATGAGGGTTCTGATGAAATAATGTTTGAATTAATTGCTAAAAAAGTAGGTTGAGTCAATTGTCATACAGTAAAGTTATAAAACTGCAACCTCAAAAGTAGGTCGAGTCAATTATCATAAATAGTGTAAATTACCTAGGATAACTCAAAAAAGGTCAGATATAGTGACTTATTTCCATTGGGGTCCTTGTATTATATTACATTTACAAGGGCCCTGATGCTGGTGAAAAGCTGTTGATCCAAAGAATTTGCACTACTCATCTCCTGGGTTAAACCTGATTGCTTCCCATTTCCTAGGTGCTGTATGGCAACCCACAGAATGGGTGTGGTTTGAGCACATGGTGAGTGAGTCTTAAAGCTCCAGGTCAGTGTGTCAGCCACTGGGCCAGCTGGCTGTATAACCCCTGCAGGTATAGAGCTTTCCCCCTAAATATGATAATAATCACAGCTAATGCAAAACTAATTTGTTATACAGTACATATTCTTATTTTACTAATGAAAAGCTATATAAAAGAGGATATTGCTGTATAATCCATGCTGGTTTAGCACTTTTTTGGCATTATGATCTTAATAATATGCAACAGGTACTGTTTTATAAAGAATGTTAGTAAAATCTTGTCATGAGCCCCTATAAGTTTAGTGCTTCCCTTTGAACATAATACTGTACTGTAATAATAATACATGTATGTACATAGCATTAACAGTAAAGACGGGAATGTATGAGAGTATAGTGGTATAAACCACTATGCCATATCTCATATGTCATATCTGCATGCCTCTGCAAAGACAGTTTATCTGGAGTTTTATCTGGAGGGAGTTCCGGGGGTCAACGCCCCCGCGGCCCGGTCTGTGACCAGGCCTCCTTAGGTCAGTGTCCCAGGATGCGACCCACACCAGTCGACTAACACCCAGGTACCCATTTTACTGATGGGGAACATAGACAACAGGTGGAAAGAAACACGTCCAATGTTTCTACTCTGGCTGGGAATCGAACCCAGGCCGCCCTGCCTCAGTGGGAGATGGCCGTGTGTTGAAAAAAAAAAGTATACAGTATATACAGAAATTTTTCAAGGATTTTAGCAAAAAATTTGGAAGTTGGGGTGACTATATGGAAAATGCATTATCCAGCATATTGTAATTTTGGGAACATTCTAAAATTATTGTTAAGAGATAGTGCAATAATTTTATTTTTAAACATACGTACTATAATTACAAAAAGTTATAGTACTGTATTTCCTTTCTAATGGTTTAATATTATTCGGCAGATGTTCCTTAGTGTATGGCTTTGTTCAGCGGCCCCTCTCTGGAAGTAAAAAACTACAGCAAGTTGTGTGGATAAATATTGGCAGACATGCCTTTGTACAGACCTGCCTCAACCTTCTGTGGTTATGTGGGTTGGCTCGTGTGGGAGCACTACGCGCACTCCTCCTCAGCGAGCATGCTGATATTGTTGTCCTAGCCGTCTGGAGTGCTGTTCTTAAAGGTAAATAATGAAAAATATACTTGCTCACTTTTGAATGTGATTGAGCAGTGCCGTACTACAGGTACTCCTTGACTTACGATGAGGTTACGTTCTGATGAACCCATTGTAATTTGAAAATGTTATGAGTCAAATATGGATTTTTTTTTTTTTATTATCACACCGGCCGATTCCCACCAAGGCAGGGTGGCCCGAAAAAGAAAAACTTTCACCATCATTCACTCCATCACTGTCTTGCCAGAAGGGTGCTTTACACTACAGTTTTTAAACTGCAACATTAACACCCCTCCTTCAGAGTGCAGGCACGGTACTTCCCATCTCCAGGACTCAAGTCCGGCCTGCCGGTTTCCCTGAACCCCTTCATAAATGTTACTTTGCTCACACTCCAACAGCACGTCAAGTATTAAAAACCATTTGTCTCCATTCACTCCTATCAAACACGCTCACGCATGCCTGCTGGAAGTCCAAGCCCCTCGCACACAAAACCTCCTTTACCCCCTCCCTCCAACCTTTCCTAGGCCGACCCCTACCCCGCCTTCCTTCCACTACAGACTGATACACTCTTGAAGTTATTCTGTTTCGCTCCATTCTCTCCACATGTCCGAACCACCTCAACAACCCTTCCTCAGCCCTCTGGACAACAGTTTTGGTAATCCCGCACCTCCTCCTAACTTCCAAACTACGAATTCTCTGCATTATATTCACACCACACATTGCTCTCAGACATGACATCTCCACTGCCTCCAGCCTTCTCCTCGCTGCAACATTCATCACCCATGCTTCACACCCATATAAGAGCGTTGGTAAAACTATACTCTCATACATTCCCCTCTTTGCCTCCAAGGACAAAGTTCTTTGTCTCCACAGACTCCTAAGTGCACCACTCACCCTTTTCCCCTCATCAATTCTATGATTCACCTCATCTTTCATAGACCCATCCGCTGACACGTCCACTCCCAAATATCTGAATACATTCACCTCCTCCATACTCTCTCCCTCCAATCTGATATCCAATCTTTCATCACCTAATCTTTTTGTTATCCTCATAACCTTACTCTTTCCTGTATTCACTTTCAATTTTCTTCTTTTGCACACCCTACCAAATTCATCCACCAATCTCTGCAACTTCTTTTCAGAATCTCCCAGAAGCACAGTGTCATCAGCAAAGAGCAACTGTGACAACTCCCACTTTATGTGTGATTCTTTATCTTTTAACTCCACGCCTCTTGCCAAGACCCTCGCATTTACTTCTCTTACAACCCCATCTATAAATATATTAAACAACCACGGTGACATCACACATCCCTGTCTAAGGCCTACTTTTACTGGGAAATAATTTCCCTCTTTCCTACATACTCTAACTTGAGCCTCACTATCCTCGTAAAAACTCTTCACTGCTTTCAGTAACCTACCTCCTACACCATACACCTGCAAGATCTGCCACATTGCCCCCTATCCACCCTGTCATATGCCTTTTCCAAATCCATAAATGCCACAAAGACCTCTTTAGCCTTATCCAACTACTGTTCACTTATATGTTTCACTGTAAACACCTGGTCCACACACCCCCTACCTTTCCTAAAGCCTCCTTGTTCATCTGCTATCCTATTCTCCGTCTTACTCTTAATTCTTTCAATAATAACTCTACCATACACTTTGCCAGGTATACTCAACAGACTTATCCCGCTATAATTTTTGCACTCTCTTTTATCCCCTTTGCCTTTATACAAAGGAACTATGCATGCTCTCTGCCAATCCCTAGGTACCTTACCCTCTTCCATACATTTATTAAATAATTGCAGCAACCACTCCAAAACTATATCCCCACCTGCTTTTAACATTTCTATCTTTATCCCATCAATCCCGGCTGCCTTACCCCCTTTCATTTTACCTACTGCCTCATGAACTTCCCCCACACTCACAACTGGCTCTTCCTCACTCCTACAAGATGTTGTTCCTCCTTGCCCCCATACACGAAATCACAGCTTCCCTATCTTCATCAACATTTAACAATTCCTCAAAATATTTTCCCCCCATCTTCCCAATACCTCTAACTCTCCACTTAATAACTCTCCTCTCCTATTTTTAACTGACAAATCCATTTGTTCTCTAGGCTTTTCTTAACTTGTTAACCTCACTCCAAAACTTTTTCTTATTTTCAGCAAAATTTGTTGATAACATCTCACCCACTCTCTCATTTGCCCCTTTTTACATTGCTTCACCACTCTCTTAACCTCTCTCTTTTTCTCCATATACTCTTCCCTCCTTGCATCACTTCTACTTGTAAAAACTTCTCATATGCTAACTTTTTCTCCCTTACTACTCTCTTCACATCATCATTCCACCAATCGCTCCTCTTCCCTCCTGCACCCCCTTTCCTGTACCACAAACTTCTGCGAACACTCTAACACTACATTTTTTAACCTACCCCATACCTCTTCGACCCCATTGCCTATGCTCTCATTAGCCCATCTATCCTCCAATAGCTGTTTATATCTTACCCTAACTGCCTCCTCTTTTAGTTTATAAACCTTCACCTCTCTCTTCCCTGATGCTTCTATTCTCCTGGTATCCCATCTACCTTTTACTCTCAGTGTAGCTACAACTAGAAAGTGATCTGATATATCTGTGGCCCCTCTATAAGCATGTACATTCTGAAGTCTACTCAACAGTCTTTTATCTTATTTTATTTTTATTATCACACTGGCCGATTCCCACCAAGGCAGGGTGGCCCGAAAAAGAAAAACTTTCACCATCATTCACTCCATCACTGTCTTGCCAGAAGGGTGCTTTACACTACAGTTTTTAAACTGCAACATTAACACCCCTCCTTCAGAGTGCAGGCACTGTACTTCCCATCTCCAGGACTCAAGTCCGGCCTGCCGGTTTCCCTGAATCCCTTCATAAATGTTACTTTGCTCACACTCCAACAGCACGTCAAGTATTAAAAACCATTTGTCTCCATTCACTCCTATCAAACACGCTCACACATGCCTGCTGGAAGTCCAAGCCCCTCGCACACAAAACCTCCTTTACCCCCTCCCTCCAACCCTTCCTAGGCCGACCCCTACCCCGCCATTCCTTCCACTACAGACTGATACACTCTTGAAGTCATTCTGTTTCGCTCCATTCTCTCTACATGTCCGAACCACCTCAACAACCCTTCCTCAGCCCTCTGGAACAACAGTTTTGGTAATCCCACACCTCCTCCTAACTTCCAAACTACGAATTCTCTGCATTATATTCACACCACACATTGCCCTCAGACACGACATCTCCACTGCCTCCAGCCTTCTCCTCGCTGCAACATTCATCACCCACGCTTCACACCCATATAAGAGCGTTGGTAAAACTATACTCTCATACATTCCCCTCTTTGCCTCCAAGGACAAAGTTCTTTGTCTCCACAGACTCCTAAGTGCACCACTCACTCTTTTTTCCCTCATCAATTCTATGATTCACCTCATCTTTCATAGACCCATCCGTGACACGTCCACTCCCAAATATCTGAATACGTTCACCTCCTCCATACTCTCTCCCTCCAATCTGATATTCAATCTTTCATCACCTAATCTTTTTGTTATCCTCATAACCTTACTCTTTCCTGTATTCACCTTTAATTTTCTTCTTTTGCACACCCTACCAAATTCATCCACCAATCTCTGCAACTTCTCTTCAGAATCTCCCAAGAGCACAGTGTCATCAGCAAAGAGCAGCTGTGACAACTCCCACTTTGTGTGTGATTCTTTATCTTTTAACTCCACGCCTCTTGCCAAGACCCTCGCATTTACTTCTCTTACAACCCCATCTATAAATATATTAAACAACCACGGTGACATCACACATCCTTGTCTAAGGCCTACTTTTACTGGGAAAAAATTTCCCTCTTTCCTACATACTCTAACTTGAGCCTCACTATCCTCGTAAAAACTCTTCACTGCTTTCAGTAACCTACCTCCTACACCATACACTTGCAACATCTGCCACATTGCCCCCCTATCCACCCTGTCATACGCCTTTTCCAAATCCATAAATGCCACAAAGACCTCTTTAGCCTTATCTAAATACTGTTCACTTATATGTTTCACTGTAAACACCTGGTCCACACACCCCCTACCTTTCCTAAAGCCTCCTTGTTCATCTGCTATCCTATTCTCCGTCTTACTCTAATTCTTTCAATTATAACTCTACCATACACTTTACCAGTACACTCAACAGACTTATCCCCCTATAATTTTTTGCACTCTCTTTATCCCCTTTGCCTTTATACAAAGGAACTATGCATGCTCTCTGCCAATCCCTAGGTACCTTACCCTCTTCCATACATTTATTAAATAATTGCACCAACCACTCCAAAACTATATCCCCACCTGCTTTTAACATTTCTATCTTTATCCCATCAATTCCGGCTGCCTTGCCCCCTTTCATTTTACCTACTGCCTCACGAACTTCCCCCACACTCACAACTGGCTCTTCCTCACTCCTACAAGATGTTATTCCTCCTTGCCCTATACACGAAATCACAGCTTCCCTATCTTCATCAACATTTAACAATTCCTCAAAAATATTCCCTCCATCTTCCCAATACCTCTAACTCTCCATTTAATAACTCTCCTCTCCTATTTTTAACTGACAAATCCATTTGTTCTCTAGGCTTTCTTAACTTGTTAATCTCACTCCAAAACTTTTTCTTATTTTCAACAAAATTTGTTGATAACATCTCACCCACTCTCTCATTTGCTCTCTTTTTACATTGCTTCACCACTCTCTTAACTTCTCTCTTTTTCTCCATATACTCTTCCCTCCTTGCATCACTTCTACTTTGTAAAAACTTCTCATATGCTAACTTTTTCTCCCTTACTACTCTCTTTACATCATCATTCCACCAATCGCTCCTCTTCCCTCCTGCACCCACTTTCCTGTAACCACAAACTTCTGCTGAACACTCTAACACTACATTTTTAAACCTACCCCATACCTCTTCGACCCCATTGCCTATGCTCTCATTAGCCCATCTATCCTCCAATAGCTGTTTATATCTTACCCTAACTGCCTCCTCTTTTAGTTTATAAACCTTCACCTCTCTCTTCCCTGATGCTTCTATTCTCCTTGTATCCCATCTACCTTTTACTCTCAGTGTAGCTACAACTAGAAAGTGATCTGATATATCTGTGGCCCCTCTATAAACATGTACATCCTGAAGTCTACTCAACAGTCTTTTATCTACCAATACATAATCCAACAAACTACTGTCATTTCGCCCTACATCATATCGTGTATACTTATTTATCCTCTTTTTCTTAAAATATGTATTACCTATAACTAAACCCCTTTCTATACAAAGTTCAATCAAAGGGCTCCCATTATCATTTACACCTGGCACCCCAAACTTACCTACCACACCCTCTCTAAAAGTTTCTCCTACTTTAGCATTCAAGTCCCCTACCACAATTACTCTCTCACTTGGTTCAAAGGCTCCTATACATTCACTTAACATCTCCCAAAATCTCTCTCTCTCCTCTGCATTCCTCTCTTCTCCAGGTGCATACACGCTTATTATGACCCACTTCTCGCATCCAACCTTTACTTTAATCCACATAATTCTTGAATTTACACATTCATATTCTCTTTTTCTCCTTCCATAACTGATCATTTAACATTACTGCTACCCCTTCCTTTGCTCTAACTCTCTCAGATACTCCAGATTTAATCCCATTTATTTCCCCCCACCGAAACTCCCCTACCCCCTTCAGCTTTGTTTTGCTTAGGGCCAGGACATCCAACTTCTTTTCATTCATAACATCAGCAATCATCTGTTTCTTGTCATCCGCACTACATCCACGCACATTTAAGCATCCCAGTTTTATAAAGTTTTTCTTCTTCTCTTTTTTAGTAAATGTCTACAGGAGAATGGGTTACCAGCCCATTGCTCCCAGCATTTTTAGTCGCCTCATACGACTCGCATGGCTTACAGAGGAAAGATTCTTTTCCACTTCCCCATGGACAATAGAAGAAATATAGAGGAACAAGAGCTATTTAGAAAAAGGAGAAAAACCTAGATGTATGTATATATATATATATATGCATGTGCGTGTCTGTGAAGTGTGACCAAAGTGTAAGTAGGAGTAGCAAGATATCCCTGTTATCTAGCGTGTTTATGAGACAGAAAAAGAAACCAGCAATCCTACCATCATGCAAAACAGTTACAGGTTTCTGTTTCACAGTCATCTGGCACGACGGTAGTACTTCCCTGGGTGGTTGCTGTCTACCAACCTACTACCTATGGATATGATGAAGTAAATAAATAACTCACTGAATAAGCACATAAACGGATAATTATTGTAACTAACTAAATACCAGTACTGAAAAGTAAATAATTGAATACAAGTTTATCCTATCTATTACTATCACTCCTGAATTTGCATCACTATTGCACCATAGTAGAATCAAAATATCATAAGTCGAACCATCGTAAAGTGAGAAGCATCTATGTGTTGCTTTATTAGCTTTATTACTTGACTCCGCTCATCTGTGTCCAACCTGAATAAGGCTGTTTACTGTGTACGATTAAAAATTAATAGGATGGCTTGGATGTGACAGTTCAAAGGGTCTTTTCAGTGAGAAAGAATAATTTGACTAATAATTTTTCCAGGTATTGGTGGTCCAGGGAAGCTACGAGGCTCATTATGGTTTGTGCTTGGTGTTTTGTCTCTGGTTTTGTTTGACAATGACTTAGCAAAGGCAACAGAACACCCAGAGGGACAACAACATCATGGTATCAGTCATTTACTCTATTATCTCTTAGCCTGGACTGGACTTTCAGATCATGAGGTAATTAATATATGGTATTCTCCTTTTAGCAAGGGGCTAGTAACCCCTTCTCTTGTATATATTACTAAGTTTAAAATGAGAAACTTTTGTTTTTTCTTTTGGGCCACCCCCGCCTCAGTGGGATATGGCTGGTTTGTTGAAAGAAGATTCTCCTTTTATTTTGTTTTCTTTTTAAATTTGTGTATATTCATCAGGGCAAATGTTCACCCTGTGGATTGTTATGTAAAGTCTGATGTACTTTACATAATAGAGGTGTTACTTGCACTTCCAGGGTGGTATTGTAGTGCTGCTGCTAACACTTTGTCTTCAAGCGTATGTAAACAATGGTGGACGTCGCCTGGCTGTTGATGTTGGTGGGTCGAAGCGTCTACGTGCTCTCACAGCTATTGTTTCTACAATTTTCCTCTGTCCATTTGCCTTCATGATTTGGCTGACTCAGGTATGTGGTAATTTGTACTAGAACAATATTCAGTACTGATTCGAATTATAGTTTAAATGTCATGTCCAAGAGTAATGTGTAGTGTAACAATTTTGAAGAGAATAAGGTATGATAAAATTAAAAGTGTTTATTGGTATGAAAGAGCAGAGGAGTTATTGAGATAGTTTAGTTATGTATAGGAACTTTGCAGGAGGAGGATAAGTTAAGTAAGATAATGTATAAATCTGGTATGGAAGGTAAAAGAGTAAGGGACTTCCAAGGATGATTTGAATGATAAGGTTTTAAAAGGTACAGTTTTGAGAGTTGAGCATGCATGTGGCAAAATGTTAGGTCAGGGTGAGCACAGGTGACATTTTCAGGATTTTAATTGCTATTGGAGTAAGTTGTATTATATCTGTTCAGGGATTCAGGGGCTTTGGTTAACTGGTTAACTGAAGTTGGCAAGAATATTGCAGTTTGGTGGGTCATCATTGGATCATGTCTGTATTGTTTTGGAAAGACAGCTAGAGAGTGAGTGATGGTGAGTATGTTTTCTTCTCTGCTTTGGTCTTCCTTGGTGGGAAAATGTCAGTTTATTAAAAATCTAGAGTTTTCTACTTATTTTTATTTTTTCTTAATATTTTATAATTTTCCTTAAACTATCAGATATTTTATGAAAATTGGTTCAGTCTTGAGCACTGAATCTCTTCAAATTAATACTTTGGAAATTATTGTCGGTATGTACCTTTAATTGTAAACAGGAGGCTTTATTTACTTAGTACTTCAGTATTTGTTTTCTCTAAATTTCATGCTATTTGTAAAAGCCATTTCTGCTCTGTTTTGTATTGCCGTTTTTCTTAAGTGCTCAGCAAAATGCTGATGTTATGCATTGATCTCCATTAATGGTCAGTGTTATAATCAACTTCACACCACAGCTGACTTGTCTACATTATCTTCACAATTATAGATACAAAGTACTGATAATACTATGTTCTATTTCTTCTTCTTTCTTTCAACAAATCAGCCGTATCCCACCGAGGCGGGGCGGCCCAAAAGGAAAAATGAAAGTTTCTCCTTTTAAATTTAGTAATATATAGAGGAGAAGGGATTACTAGCCCCATGCTCCCTGCATTTTAGTCGCCTCTTAAGACACGCATGACTCACGGAGGAAGAATTTTGTTCCACTTCACCATGGAGATAAGAGGAAATAAACAAGAACAAGAACTAGTAAGGAAACAGAAGAAAACCCAGAGAGGCATGTGTATATATAGTATATATGTATATATATAGGCTTGTCTGTGCATGTTTGGTATGACCTAAGTGTAAGTAGAAGTAGCAAGATATACCTGAAATCTTGCATGTTTATGAGACAGAAAAAAAGACACCAGCAATCCTACCATCATGTAAAACAACTACACGCTTCCGTTACACACTCACTTGGCAGGATGATAGTACCTCCCTGGGTGGCTGCTGTCTGTCTACCAACCTGCTACCTGTAATATTCTATTTCATATGCTGCCAAATGTACATTACAGTATTTTGCTTATTAGTGGAATAGGTTACAGTCAGTCCCTGACTTGCAGTGATGTGACTTAAAATGATCTACACTTGTGATCAGGGCACTTTGTAACCAATTAATAATCAATAAATGCCTATTTTAGGGGAAACTAGTTAGCCAGACTTGAGTCCTGGAGGTGGGACGTACAGTGCCTGTATTTTAAAGTAAGGGTTTGGAATATTGGATGTTTGGAGTGACATCTGAACTGTCATATGTGGGCGCCTCTGCAAAGACTGATTATGTGTGGATGATGGTGAAAGCATTTCTTTTTTTTTTGGAACACCCTGCGTTGATGGGAGATGGCTCGTTTATTAAAAAAATATTCACAAATTATTTTCATGATTTTTATTATTTTTTTCACATTGATGGTTTGGGTTTGTTCATTTTATCTATGTATGGTAATTTTGCTTGTTTGATAGAGATTGGTCGAGAATTCTAGATTACATAGTATAATTATAATTTTGCTAAGCTTAGTTATAAATAAATTTTTCTTGGTTAATTTTCTACCAAATGTATTGATAGTTTGTGAATGTTAAGTTTTTGTGTGTATGGAGATTTCACGTTTGGTAGATATTCTTCAAGAACTGTAGATTTTTTATTGAGATTGTTGTTTTTGGGGACAGTTATCTATGTTTAATAAATTGATGGCTGACAGTCAGTGTATGCCAGGGAGGCAGGTGGTGGTTTTCCTGGGAGGGCAGCCCCAGCCCCAGATTGGTGGCCAAGCTGAGGGTGAAGGATCAAGGAGTGGTTGATTTGCCTGGTATCCTTGTGGGGAAGGGCATGGTCCCTGGATAGCAGCTGATGGGGAAAGACTGGGTTGGAGGAACCTTATGTGGAAGGTCATAGTCCCTGGCTAGCAGCCGATGGGGAAGGACTGGGTGGAAGGAAGGTGTTACCATGGAACCTGGGGCCAGTGACCCTGAAGGATAGGACTGGCAGGCTACTCCCTCTTCTCCTTTTCCTGACTCTGCTTACTGTATTCTCACCTCAACCATCTCCCTCCCTACCAATGCACTGCCCTCACCAGTCCTTGCCACACTGTGTGCCAATTTCTTATACGTCTAATCCTTTCACTGTTATCAGTGAGATAATGGAGAGCATATCTAAAGTGTGTTATGCCAGATTGGGAAAGATAATGGGAGAGAGGGAGGGAAGGAATAGGAGAGTGGGAGGGAAGGAATGTGAGAGAGGGATGAAGGTAAGGGAATAAAAGAAAAGCAGTGGGAAGGAGGGAAATAAAGAGGAAGGGAAGTGAGAGGAACTCATCTGAGTACTACAGTATAATATGCAATGTATCTAGCTACGGACCTGTTAATATGCTCAAATGTACTGCTCAGATATAACCTATATCAAAATAGTGTAAGAATTAGTATTAGTCTGCCCAGAGTGCCTAGGCATGATAGTGTACATCTTTGTCATTAAAATCATATAACATGTAAACCACTCATTGTAAGCTTTACAAGGAAATAAATGTTTGTAAATCAGATTAATTCGTTTCAGACCACCCAAAAATACACTTACAAAAGCACTTACATAAATGCACTTACATAAATGTTCGAGCTTTGAGCTGTTCGTATCCCGAGGTACCACTGTATTATGGTTTGGGAAAGCATCTCTGATTATAATATGGGTATTTGTGGGAAAATAGGTCTAAATTTCACATACATGAGAAATGAATGATTTTCAGAAATGCATTTATGTTATAACTGGGGGCTTACCAGAACACTGTTCAGCATTTCTCCTAACTTATAATATTTGTATTGTTAACATTTCTCAATTTAAAGTATGCAAACTTGTTAACAGGTATTATTAACAGGATCTGATATTGCAGGACACACCTAGCCCAGGGGCTCTGCAGTTTCTGCCACAGGCATTTGCTGTCGCCTTGTTTGTCTTTGTTTTACATTATTACATTGATGCTGCTTGTATTCAGAGGTATGTGCAATACTTTCATTTGTGCTATTATGATGATAGATTTACTTTTGGAAGACCATGAACCAGGGATTTTTTTTCATTTGCATACAGCTTTCCAAATTAATGTTTTGTTACAACCGTTCTCCAGTATTATCAGATATAGGTAATCGGTCTTTTTCAGAATCTGTTGCTGTGTTATATACTATCTTGCAGGCTGGATATGGTTAGGACAGCAAGAATTGGCACTCTAGCCACCTTCTTTGCTGGTTTTCTTTTGAGTGCTGTCTGGAAGTATTCAGTGAAAAGCGAAGAAAACAATACCGATGTTGTCCAAGAAAAATTTGACCATGCCTTGTCTGGAGGAGTTGCATTTAGTTTTATTATGTTATCTGCAGGTAAGCCTTACTGCATTTAGTGTTGATATGCTGTTGATATGTTTTGACGAGCTGTTGGAGTGTGAGCAGGGTAATACTTAGTGAAGGGATTCAGGGAAACCGGTTACTATTTTTATATAGCCGGACTTGAGTCCTGGAAATGGGAAGTACAGTGCCTGCACTCTAAAGGAGAGGTTTGGGATATTGGCAGTTTGGAGGGATATGTTTATACATATATGTTTATACATATATGTTCTAAACTGTTGTATTCTGAGCACCTCTGCAAAAACAGTGATTATGTGTGAGTGAGGTGAAAGTGTTGAATGATGATGAAAGTATATTCTTTTTGGGGATTTTCTTTCTTTTTGGGTCACCCTGCCTCGGTGGAAGACGGCTGACTTGTTAAAAAAAATAGAAAATGCTGTCTTCAGTGATGGGATCAATAATGTCCACAAGGGAAAAGGACACCAGTGATCTTAAGACATAACTATACTGTGTGGTGATCCTTTGCTTGGTAATGTGGTTTAATCCTAGTTATAATAGGCCAGAAGATCCTTAACCAGTAAATGATTCATTCTTAGGAAACATTTTTCTTACGAGCATAATATACAGTGGACCCCCGGTTTACGATATTATTTCATTCCAGAAGTATGTTTAGGTGCCAGTACTGAACGAATTTGTTCCCATAAGGAATATTGTGAATTAGATTAGTCCATTTCAGACCCCCAAACATACACGTACAAATGCACTTATATAAATACACTTACATAATTGGTCGCATTGGGAGCTGATCGTAAAGCGGGGGTTCACTGTACTGCCAACATCACGAGTGGGCTTCCATGAGGCTCAAGTCTGGTCCTGATAATGTTTCTAATCTACGTATATAAAGGAATAAACAGATAAAAGATAAAGATAAAGATTTTATTTCTTTGCAAGGTTACGATGTGCATTTACAGTTTTGATTAGTTAAGTACAAAGAAAGCCACTATCATGCTGGGGCATTTCTGGCAGACTTGTCCTACCTGGAGTGTACCGGGAGAGGGTTTTGGGGGGTCAACGCCTCCGCGGCTCAGTTTGAGACCAGGCCTCATGGTGGATCAGGGTCTGATCAACCAGGCTGTTACTGCTGGCTGCATGCAAGCTGACGTACGAACCACAGCCCGGTTGGTCATATACTGACTTGAGGTGCCTGCCCAGTGCCTTCTTGAAGACAACCAGGGGTCTATTGGTAATCTCCCCATTAAGGGGGATTACCAATAGACCCCTGGCTGTCTTCAAGCAGGCACTGGACAGGCACCTAAAGTTGGTACCTGACCAGCCAGGCTATGGGTCGTATGTTGGACTGTGTGCGGCTAGCAGTAACAGCCTGGTTGATCAAGCCCTGGTCCACCATGAGGCCTGGACACAGACCGGGTTGTGGGGGGCGTTGACCCCCGAAACTTTCTTCAGGTATACTCCAGGTATCCAGGTACCCATAGAAATAAGCTGAGAAGATAAAAAAAAAAAGGAATTCCAAGACATTCTACAAAATGGTTTCCACAAGTTCAAAAATGTGAGTCACAAAGATAAATTAAAAGCACTGAAAATACTCTTATGGGCTGATAGAAAAAGAGGAGACATAATAATAGCATACAAAATTATAAAAATGTACAGGAAAATATGAAAAGAAAGGCTTTTTAGCATAGTCATCAAGAAAAAAAACAGTAATTGTAGACTGAGGAAAAAATACTGCAGATAAGCCACTAAATAGTTTTTAACAGATAAAGTAACAGAATACTACAACTGGGTCCAAGAGGACATTACATAATAACTGCTACAATCACAGGATACTCAAGAAAATAGTGAAAAATAACACTGATGACATAACATCACAATCATAGCTCTGTTCCTGTTACTATACTATTTAGGTGTTTGGTAATCACAAATTATTAATTAACCACAACCACAAATACTGTAGATGAGTACACACACACATATACACACCCACTCCATATATTCGCAACATACCCAAGTGGTATGTGTTAATATTGGAGCTTACCAGTTATTATGTATCCTCTCAAAATGCACTGTATAACTACATTTAAATACATCATTGATGGTTTATCTACCCTTCTGGATAGGCTTGTATGTTCCTCCTCATCTGTACTCCATACCCCAACCTAACTTCCAACAAGATCCTTGAAAGGGCACGGTATTGTGTACTGTATGTTTCTTACAATTCATCTACAAACCATTCTGATGATTGCTAAATTATCTTGGCTCACTTAAGTACCTTATTTGGCTGGCATCTTTGTTACACTTAGGTAGTAGGTTGGTAGACAGCAACCGCACAGGGAGGTACTACCGTCCTGCCAAGTGAGTGTAAAACGGAAACCTGTAATTATTTTACATGATGGTAGGATCGCTGGTGTCTTTTTTCTGTCTCATAAACATGCAAGGTTTCAGGTATGTCTTGCTACTTCTCCTTACACTTAGGTCACACTACACATACCTGTACAAGCATATATATACACACCCCTCTGGGTTTTCTTCTATTTTCGTACTAGTTCTTGTTCTTGTTTATTTCCTCTTATCTCCATGGGGAAGTGGAACAGAATTCTTCCTCCTTAAGCCATGCATGTTGTAAGAGGCAACTAAAATGCCAGGAGCAAGGGGCTAGTAACCCCTTCTCCTGTATAAATTACTAAATTTAAAAAGAGAAACTTTCATTTTTCTTTTTGGGCCACCCTGCCTCGGTGGGATGCGGCTGGTTTGTTGAAAGAAGAAGATCTTTGTTACACTAATCTATTATTTATTCCTCTTCACATGGAGGGCTGTTAAAAAGTTTGTATCACCTTTGAAATTGTAATATTTTTGTTATTTATTCATATTTTTCAGCCACCCTTCAGTTGACATCAAGCAAAGAACGGTGGCGAGGCCCAGGTGGTATGAGTGCTCTTCCTCATCATGGGCTTCCTGGTGAAGCTCTGCAGCGCTCACAGCCTCTCATCACATTCTTCACCACAACTCTCAGACTCATCCTCTCAAATCGAAACAGCCGCACCATCTTCTACTTTCTCTGTGTAAATCTGTGTGAGTAGTTAAGTTACTTGCTCCCTCTTCAACCTACCTTCCTTCATCACCCACCTATTCCCTCCTCAGCCCACCTTCCTTCACCACCCACCTACCCCCTCCTTAACCCACTTTCACCACCCACCTACTACTTCCTCAACCCCACCTTCCTTCATCACCCACCAACTTCCTCATCACCCACCTTCTCCCTCATCTCTTCTCTCTTTCTCTACTAACCTCCTTCCTCCACCTGTCTGTTCCCTACTCCACTTGTCTCTGCTTCCTCCTACCATCCACTTTTCTTTGCCTCTTTTACTCCCTCTACAAGTCAACATACACTTCTAAAACTGAACATAATTATTATCACCAACACATACGGTTAATGTCGTAATTTTTCTTGTTACATTTTTGTTTAATTTTTAACACACTAGTCATCTCCCATCGAGACAGAGTATTAATATTATAATAAAAACTAAGTGCTAAACCCACCAGGGTTATACAGCGCTGCATTGAGACAGGGTAACCTGTAAAGAAGAAACACTTTCATAAAATTTTTCTTCTGTTTACATTTAGTAATTTATACAGGAGAAAGGGGTTACTAGCCCCCTTGTTCCTGGTATTTTAGTTGCTTCTTATGACATTCATGACTTAAGGAGGAAGAATTCTCCTCCACTTTTCCGTGGAGGTACACTATTCTCATTTTTATGTAATTTCTTGTTCCGTGCTGTTGGAGTGTGAGCAGGGTAATATTTATGAAGGGATTCAGGGAAACCAGCAAGCCGGACTTAGAGTCATGGAGATGGGAAGTACAGTGCCTGCACTCTGAAGGAGGGGTGTTAATGTTGCAGTTTTATAACTGTAGTGTAAGTGCACCTCTGACAAGACAGTGATGGAGTGAATGAGGGTAAAAGTTTTTCTTTTTCTAGCCCTTGGTGGGAGATGGCCTATGTGTTAATAAAACAAAACTGTTCCTCTTTTAAATATATCACAGTACAGTCACTTGTGAGTCTTGACTGAGTAGACCTTAGTTGTGTACTACAATCACTTGTAGATAATATAGATTGACTACTGTGTTAAAATCACTATTTAGTAATGAGTTGTTGATTTATGTATAATTTAGAATAAACAAACGTACTTATTTAATTTTTACAAATATAGCTAAAATAATGCTAGTAATGGAAAATATGGATTTATTTTTCAGGTTTTACCTTTGTGGAATTTGCCTATGGAATGTGGACGAATAGCCTTGGCCTCATATCTGATGGATTTCACATGTTGTTTGACTGTTCAGCTCTCGTCATGGGTCTGGTCGCCTCGGTGATGGCACGCTGGAAACCTACCAAAACATTTCCTTTTGGGTAGGGAATGCTATATTCTCTCTATATATACAATTTGAACTTGTTAATAATGTGTGGATAGTTATTTTTGCTTGTTTTTACTTATGGTATTAGTTTTTTTTTTTTTTTTTTTTTTTTTTTACACTAGTGTGTTTCCAGGTCGATATATGACTACCCTCCCTAGGATGCCAATCTACAGCAAATAACCCAGGTACCTATTTACTGCTAAGTGAATAAAGGCAACATCTCCATGCACCCCAAAATCAAACTGACTCCAAGGAATTAGTGCCATCTTTTTTTTCTTGAATTGAATCTGATTGCCTCCCATTTCCTAGGTACTGCATGACCCCTATGAGTTTAACACTTTCCCATTAAAATAATTGCAGTAAGGAAGTTATTAAGTGAGTGATGATAAATGAACTTCCTTCTATGGGTCATTCTGCCCTCATGTGAAATGGACCATGTGGTAAAAACAAAATTAAATAGTATATGAATAATAATGAAGTGAGAGTATTTTGTTTGGCAGGTCTTAATAGAGTGAAGAGACATAATCAATATATATTTTAAGATGACTATAAGTACTTAATACATTTTCTTTATACAACTAAATTTTACAGCAAACCCTCCATTTAACAGACTTCAGAAATACAGAACAAAATCTGCTGGGCCAATAGATATGGCAACAATAGACTAAATCCTTTGGCTACAGAATTGTTCATTGTTGTTACAGTCACTGCAAAATAATATTTTCTCTATTCACCACAATTGCCATTACTGGTCACCCACTCCCTACCATTAGTCCATTAAATAGAGGGTTTACTGTATATTGATTTTTATTTAATTTAGTGTAATAATTAAATATTACAAACTCCGATAATTTCAACGTTTTTATGACAATTTTACTAATTAAGGATTATTTTGATGTGTTTGCAACAGTTGGGTATCTTTAATGTTGAAATGTTTTGCCTACACACTAGGCTTCTTCAGTCAAATACAGAGGCAGGTGTAGTAGTGAAGTAAAGATGATGTCATCAGTCCATCAACCTTGGAGAAATAGTATTTGAGGAGGTCAGTCCCTCAGCCTCTACACCTGCTGCCTCTGTATTTGACTGAAGAAACCTACTGTGTAGCCAAAATGTGTCAACAATAAAAATAGCCAACTGTTGCACGTGTGTTTTACTCATCAACTTGTCGGTATTTTATACCACTTTCAACAAGGATTATTTTGTTTTTTACAGATATGGGAGAATTGAAGTATTATCTGGGTTCGTGAACGGGCTTTTTTTAAGTGTGGTAAGGTCATGCAATATTTCCAGTATGGTATTAACCTTAGCCTTTATATGTTTGCATTTAATTACTTGTTTGCTTATTTGAGTTACCATGGGATGAGTTCTAGCAGAAAGCATTGGAATGCATGCAGTCTATGAGTGCTAATGGGGAAGAATGGGCACCAAGTGTAGTTGAGAACAGTATCACCTAATTCACAGATGTTAAACAGTACAACTGCTGACCACATGATCAGTGCCCAATGCAGCAGATAAGAGACCAGGAAACAACCTAGAAGCAGCTGAAAGTTTGTAGATTCTACTGGATTTGCAGAGACTTAGTCTGTAGGTAAAGGTGCAAAGGGAGCCTAGGGACCAAGGGAGAGCAGGAGACCACTCCCTCTTGGTGAGATCCTGGCTCACCAACAGAGAAGGTACTTTTAAGCCTTCAAAACATGAAAAACTGTTACTAGAAAACTCATAGGGATCCACATTTGTGAACAAGTCAACCCAGCTTGACAAGCATAAGTCAGGACAGGCTGTCTGGCAGTTATAAAAGCTGGTGAGTCAAGAATAGGATTCTTAGTAGAGCAAAAAGGAGTTACAAATCTTCAGGACTCCTGGAGGCTAAATAAAATAAATCACCAGCCATAGCTGTATCCATTGAGCAGAAACTTTGTGTTGATGGTAGAGCATAATGTTGACAAATAGAGTTCTAAGTGGCATTGATCACAACAAGTGAATGTTGACTTGCTAAACAAAGAAAAAAAATGTGAGGTAGACCCTACTGGGGCAGAGAATATATATATTTGATATGAATGAATGTATAGCATTCCAAATGAGCCCCCACGTCTCCATTGGTGAAATATTTACACTGTACATTATAGGGAGAATAACATGCAGTATTTACAATTACTCATCCTAAGATGACGGGTTGGAGGGAGGATGTAAAAAAGGTTGTAAGTGGTAGGAACTTGAGCACCAAGCAGGTGTTTTAAGTGTGTTAAATTGAATTTTATGTTCTGTTGGAGTGTGAGCAAAGCACATTAACGAAAATATTCAGGGAAACTGGTTAGCTAAACTTGAGTCCTGGAGGTGGGAAGTAGAGTATCTATATTCTAAAGGATGGGGATGTTGCAGTTTGGAGGTCATTTAAATTGTGATGTCTGCATACTTCTGGCAAGACAGCTGTTGAAGGAATGACAGTGACTGTTTGTTTTGTCACTACCTTGATCAGAGATGGCTTGTGTTGTAATAAATAATGTGTAGTGTTGTAATAATGTGTAGTGTTGTAATAAATACAAACTAGTGTTTAAGATCATATGTTTTCTTACTTTTTTTGAAAATATTTTGTTATAAATTTAAAAAATGGCCACAGAGCCTTTATAACATATTGTAAAAATAAATGGGTAGGTAAATTTAGTGTTTTTAAAATATCAGGGCATTTCTTCCACAGATTGGCTTTATGGTTTTGTATGAGGCTGTTGGACGGCTGTGGGAACCTCCTGAAGTGCACACCGAGAGGTTATTAGCAGTCGCTGTCTGTGGATTAATAGTGAACCTTTTTGGCATTGTGTCCTTTAGGTATTGTAACTATCATATAAAGTAATACTTTAGTAAAGTGCCTATTTCATAAGAATTTTGCACTTAGTTAATAAAATTATGAAAATCCTATTATTGCAATTAACCCTTAAACTGTCCAAACGTAGATCTACGTTTTTTTCAACATTTGAAAGTATGTAAAAAAGTAATTTTTTTTTTTTTAATTTGAAAACGTGTAAAAAAACATGGATCTACGTTTTTTTTTTTTTGTTATGTTTGAAAATATGTAAAAAAACGTAGATCTACTTTTGGAGCGCTACGCATGTGAACATAGATCTGCTTGGACAGTTTAAGGGTTAAATTTGGTTCTAAATCAAATTAATATAGCGTGATATTAATTCAGTTTAGAAATAATGTATTTGTATATTTATATTTTGTAATTGGTCTTGTTCAAGTAATTTTACTTAATCAACATTCTGTGTATGATTACCATATGCAGCATGTTGTTAGTATAAGTAGATAGCAGGACTACACTATCACAGTTGATCTCTCCTCATGGTTTACCTAAACTGCATTTTCACTGATCCTATTTTTGTCATATATCCATGGAGGGATATGTTGTGTATCTTTATATGTGTATGCTTCTAGACTGTTGTATTCTGAGCACCTCTGCAAAAACAGTGATAATGTGCGAGTGTGGTGAAAGTGTTGAATGATGATGAAAGTATTTTCTTTTTGGGGATTTTCTTTCTTTTTTGGGTCACCCTGCCTCGGTGGGAGACGGCCGACTTGTTGAAAAAAAAAAAAAAAAAAAATCCATGGTCTCACCAGAGCCGTGGTTTGGCAGCTCATCATTGTTTTAATGCGAGCCCATATGTCTTGGCTCCCAGGATCCACTAGGCTTTCTCAAGAAAGCCTCCATGTTCCACTTGCATATGTTTTCATTGTCTTGCATTTTGTTTGAATAGTTATACAGGCTCATTGTCTTTTGGGTTATCATCATACCCATGGGAGTGTGAGCAAGGTAACATTGACAAAGGGATTCAGGGGAATCTAATTATACCTTTGATGAGTTCTCAAAAATTTTCTACTCCTGGAGCCCTGCCATAGGCCAGGCTCATCTAGTGCTTGTCTGGTCAACTAGGCTGTTGCTGCTGGTGGCCTCCTGACCCACATATCCATCACAATCTGGTTGATCTGGCACCTGGTGAAGATACTTGTCCCAAAAATGTTTCTGATATCTTCTGCATCCTGAATTCTGGAGATGGGAAGTGCAGTACCTGCACTTTGAAGGAGGAATGGAGGTGTTGCAGTTCAGAGAGTCATTTAAACTGTGGTGTCAGCATACATTGCAAAAACAGTGATTAAAGGAATTCTTTGACAATTACCAAAAAATACAAGTTGTAAAAATTTTTGAATTAAAAGATTTTTTTCAGAAAATAGGTATGATACTTATGTTATAGCATAATGAGACAGTGTCACATTTACAATGATCTGTTCGGTCAATAATATTTTTAGCAGTTTGAAAGTTGTATGAGTTTAGATTAATAAATAATATTAATTGCAGTCATACTCACTCGCACGGACACACTCATAGCAGCAGCCACAATCATTGTCATGCTGGCAGTCAGGATCATCAAGCTGGCTCACACAAACACACCCACAATGTGAATGCAAACATGCAAGGTAAATTATTACTATAGCTCGCTTTACTGTAATACTATACATACTTTTACTTTTTTATAACTTGCTTATTTTACTCAATCTCAGTCTGAGTATTATATATAAAATGTTAGAACAACAACATTGGATAAATAGTTTATAGAGCATTCATTTAATATTGAAGTTAAAAATATATTGAGATTAAGAATTTAAATGTAGAGTACTTCTGGGATTCAAACTTCGGTCTGAATTCCCTGGAACACCTTCACATCTTAGTTACAGTTTAAAAGTAGTACTTTAATTTTTTAACACTGACCATCTCCCACAGAGGTAGGGTGACCCGAAAAAGAGGGAACACTTTCGCTGTTCTAATATTAATGTACGTACGTATATAACGATTTGAGTGTATATATGTACAGTGGAACCTCAAAAATCGAACGTATCACATATCAAACTTTTCGAAAGTAGGACCATTTTTTCGGACAAATTGTGTCCCTATTATCGAACGCGCCCCTATTTTTGGACCGCCGGGTACGGAACCTGTCTGCCAGCCAGCTCTGTCCGTGTCCCCGCGCAGGCGCCGTGAGCAGTCTAGCTTTGTTTATGCTTGAGTGAACACTAACCTGCACTCTCATTCACACATTTTACGATTATTTCGTTGTGTTTAGTGCTTGTGGGACTGTGAAATAAGCTGCCATGGGCCCAAAGAAACTTGCTAGTGGTACCCCTGTGGTAAAGAAAGTGAGAAACACCATAGATGTGAAGAAGGAAATAATACAAAAGTATGAGAGTAGTGTGAGACTTGTTGAGCTTGCCAGGATGTATGGGAAAAACAAGTCAACCATCGGTTCTATCCTGTCAAAGAAAGAACAAATCAAGGAAGCTGATGTTGTGAAAGGTGTTAATATAGGAAGAGGATGAGGTGCCTTCTTCAAAGATTAAGGAGGTTTGTGCCAAGTGGAATGATGTCCAAATGTTTGTGCAGAGGTACCACCCTGAGCAAGCTGAAACAAGCCATCTTTGCAACAAGTTCAGTGACAGAACCATGTTCTATCTTAGGGAAATGTTAAAGAGGCACCAGAAACAGAGGACTGTGGACAGTTATTTTGTGAGACGGGGTCCAGTGACTCTCAAGCTGGTCCTAGTGGCATTAAAAGACAGAAGGGAAGTAACCCCAGAGAGGGCTTTACCTGAAGTCCTCATGGAGGGGGATTCTCCTTCCAAACACTAACCCCAACTCCCTCTCTCCTCCTCCCTATCTTCCAGATGCCATCACCAATCTTCAATAAAGGTAAGTAAAAATGTTATTTTATATGTATTACTATACATAATTAAAAACTATAGTATTTGTTGTATGTAAAACTGTAATTAATCTCTATAAAATGTATTTTTTGTGTGAATATTTTTGGGTTTCTGGAATGGATTAATTGTATTTCCATTATTTCTTATGGGAAATATTGCTTCGAATTTCAGACTTTTCGAATTTAGAAGTAGCTCCTGAAATGGATTAAGTTCGATTTTTGAGGTTCCACTGTATAGAGTAAATACTTTAATTTACAGGTGTGTTTCTGCACATATTGGCTGATACTCTTGGAAGTGTAGCAGTTATCATCTCATCTTTGCTCATTGACTGGTATGGATGGCTTATAGCAGATCCAATCTGCTCTCTTATCTTGTCTGGTCTCATCTTAGCATCTGTTCTGCCTCTGCTAAAGGAGTCTGCCTCGGTACTTTTGCTGAGGGTGCCAGCGAGCATTGAAGAAGCTGCCAAAGCATGTATAGAAAAGGTTAGTTTCTTATGCACTTTTTAATAATTAAAGTTTATTTTTTGTTAACAAATTGAGAAATTTATTTGATTTTAACAGAGAACAGTACATGTACAATATTTTGCAAAGTCTTTCCTCTACAGATCCTGGACATAGAACATGTTGTAAGTTGTAAAGACCCACGGTTTTGGCAACATTCTGGAGACATGTATGTATCAACAATAGTGGTGCAATGCAGAAGTGACATATCTGAACAGCGAATTATTCATAATGTAAGTGACAGGATTACAAAATATTCATGATGTAAGATTGGTGATGTTATGATCAAGTTTCTCCACAATGAATTGTGTATTGAGTGTCTGAACAGTTTTGTGTAACACAATGATGGTGATAATAATAATAATGATGAATTATGGCATGAAAGTGAATTAATTTAAATTTAGACATTAAAAATATTAAAACTAAAGCAATACATGCAACCCATATTACATATTCAGGACAATTATGTTATGTACATGGTAAAGGGAGAAGGAAGGCAAGAGGGTGGAATGACAGAGGGAGAAAGGAGGTGAGAACAGAAATTGGAGACATCTGCCTTGACTGCCTTGTTAAAATTAAATTATCAAGTTTCATCATGTATTTTCATGGATCTTATGTTTTTCAGGTAACTGCAATTCTTCAAGAAGCAGGCTTCACTCAGGTGACAGTAGAGGTGGAAGTGGTGCCAGGAACTGACCCTGTGGTTGAATGTCCTCCATCACAGTGGGGATTGGGAACAGTAGTCAAAACTCAACCTAACCCCTATCCTAGCTGTATAAGAGCTGTTTAGACTAGACTATAATCCAGATGCACTGTATAATTTATTTTTGTTAGAGTGGCAGTATTTTTCTAATGGACATTCGTTATTTTGTTATGTAAATTATTTTTACTCTTCATGCTGATAGATTTTGCTCTAACTTCATAAAAAATTTATCGGCCATTTTCCATTGCGACCCGGGACAAAATGTTCACCGTCGTTCACTCTTCCCAGCCCAGTTTCGGAGTGCAGGCACTTTGTTCCCCATCTTCCAAAACTGAAGTCTGACTAGCTGATTTCTTACAGATATGCTCACACTCCAACATCTGATGTGAGGAAAAATGTATGTAACGAACATCCAAAGAATGGACAAAGGGTTCTTGACCCAAAGAATTAAAGCTATCCTCCTCTTCCTTGGATGAAGCCTGATTACTTTCCATGTCCCATGTGCTGTGTGACTTCCTAAGAATTTAATGCTTCCCATAAATATAATAACAGCAATCGACTCTGAGAACGATAGTGTTTATGAAGAGTTCCAGAGAAACTTGCTAGTCTTTGATGTTAAGGAGTTGAAATCCAGCACTGTGAAAACTGGGTGAGAATGCTGCTGTTTGGTGGGTTATCGTTGGATTGTGATGTGTGACCCCTCTTAAATGTGTCTTTTCCTTGGGAAATGGTTAATGATTTAAAAACTGTGATAGCTATACCACAATATCAAGTATTTTATTAAATATCTTAATATTCCAATAGTATACAGAGATGTATTAGTTATATTTATTTATGTACTTTTTTAATATCATCCATGGAATCTCCAATCTGCTATACAGTACTTCTTCTTTCAACGTACCAGCCGTATCCCACTGAGGTGGGGTGGCCCAAAAGAAAAAACTAAAGTTTCTCCTTTTAAATTTAGTAATATGTACAGGAGAAGGGGTTACTAGCCCCTTGCTCCCGGCATTTTAGTCGCCTCTTACGACACGCATGGCTTACAGAGGAAGAATTCTGTTCCACTTCCCCATGGAGATAAGAGGCAATAAACAAGAACAAGAATTAGAAAGAAAATAGAAGAAAACCCAGAGGTGTGTGTATATATATGCTTGTACATGTATGTGTAGTGTGACCTAAGTGTAAGTAGAAGTAGCAAGACTTACCTGTAATCTTGCATATTTATGAGACAGACAAAAGATACCAGCAATCCTACCATCATGTAAAACAATTACAGGCTTTCGTTTTACACTCACTTGGCAGGACGGTAGTACCTCCCTGGGAGGTTGCTGTCTACCAACCTACTACCTACAGTACTATATAAATAAATAAATTTCTGTTTTTGAAAGGTGCACATTGTTACAAAGTTAGGTGACATTTATTTAATACATCATGGAAAGACCCTAATTATGTAGAGCATTTGGGGTGTTTAAAATAATATTATGGCTAACTTTTGTAAATCTTTATTAGATCAGATCAGACAAATTCAGTTTCACAAAAAATTAATTAAAATAGAAACTAAATTTGATGAACAATTCAGTTGATCTTGGTACATTGTCAAGTATTTATTTTTATTTGTGACTTATAAAGTTTCAGGTCAGATAAATAAAATTTTGACTTTTAATACCAGATAGTGTGGATTTGTACTTATATCCATTATAGATTTTTTTTTTTTTTACTTTAGTGTATGTACTGTAATAAAAATAACACTATTATTATACATAACATTATATACTGAATAATACATAAAATTCACTCATAAATGTAAAGAAAATAATAAGCAGACTATCGACTACAATCAGTGATTCTTGCACAAACGTCCCTGATAATTACGCAGGTTCTTATGGGGAAAATCATGCACCAGATTTTTAGATATACCAAGTGATCATACTTTTTTTTTTTTTTTTTATGGTTCCTTTGCTTCCCACATTCTGTTCTGGGATCTTGGTCACTCCAAATTGGTACATATGGAGTGACCAAGGTCCTAGTGATGGCATCTTTTGTCTTTCTCCATTACCCAGTGATATCAGAGTACCTTGATATCCTGAATAACAAATCCCTGGATAGCCTGTGGTCTACTCCATTGATCAATTGATATTCTTTTTATCAGTAGGCCTTCCTTACAAGAAATACAAAATTTTCTCCCCTCCTCCTTACCTATCAGTTAAACTCCCAATACATATCAAATACTGTCAGCAACTTAACAACAATGAGAAATTTTACGACTTTGACATTTGAGTAAATTTTTAAAAATATGTACATATGCCTATGTGTGGATCACTGAATGGAAGACCTGTCTGTTTCGATCAGTAGGTCTACTCCGCTATTTCGAATTCTTTTGCTTTAACAAGATTATTTAATGTGGAAGTGTTACTCCTTATGATCTGTTTTATTAAAATTTATGTAATGTAAATGCTTCCTTTTTTGGTTCCTTCAGTCATTTACTATTAGAAATATTGAATCATAATACAATATGTATATAAAAAATTAAGAAATAAAGGTTATTGTTCCCTTTATCAAAATAATACAGCATTGTATTTTATATTGTAACTTTATAAAGAGATAAAGACATCACAACTGGGTTTTTTTTACATCAAAATTAAATGTTATTTATATTCAGCTATCTCCTTGTATGGATGCAAGAAATTTGTTCAAGAGCATGCCTTTTCAATATTAACCCTTAAATGGTCCAAACGTATATATACATTTTTTTAACATCTGAAAGTATGTAAAAAAATGTTGATCTTCTTTTTTGTTTTACATTTGAAAATGTGTAAAAAAAAACTTTTATCTACATTTTTTTTTGTTATATTTGAAAAGATGTAAAAAAAAGTAGATCTACTTTTGTAGAAATACGAATTTGAACGTCGATCTGTTTGGACCGTTTAAGGGTTAAAACTGTTGATTACATCTTTTGACAAACTGGCCATATCCCACCAAGGCGGGGAGGCCCAAAAGGAAAAACGAAAGTTTCTCCTTTGAAATTTAGTAATGTATACAGGAGAAGGGGTTACTAGCTGATGACTACATATCTCACTTAATATACTATACTTGAAATTATGTTCAGTTACAAGTAATGCTTCAGTATTTTATATACAGTGCAGTACAAAGTCTTATTATGTGACTGAGCAATAATTCATGTAATGTACGTATTTAGAAAACTACTATAAGTGAAAACAAATCTGTAAGGGTGTGCTGCTGGTGATGGACTCTTGATCCAAGAAATTGGAGCTGCCCTTAAAATTGTGGCTTCCAAATTTAGTGGGTTAGATAAAAAGCATTTTAACTATGCAGGTCACATGACCAGATCAGAAATTTTTGACATGTATGTATTCAGAGGTCATTGACAGTCAAACCAAAATACAATACTAGTTTCTTTCATTTTAAGACATGTAAAGAAAGATAATGAACACTTGCTGCAAGATAATTCCAAGTGTCAAGAAACTGACCATCAACAGTATGCTAAAAGGACCTGGATTCAGTCCTGGACGGGGTTAGATAGCTGTCTGTCTCCTAGCACGCTCTGCCCCTGTTCATGTTGTAGTAGATACAGTAGGTACTGGGGACTAGCTGACTGTTGTGTCACATCTTGGAAAAGAGGACCTGAAGATCTCATTGGAAATAACCCATACTAGTTGACTTTATTGAGTTATCCTGAGATAATAATTCTAGGGGAGGACCTAAGGATCCCAGTGGTAATAAATATTCATCACAGGCCTTTCTTGGGTTATTAACCTTGCAGGGTTAGTAACTAGGAGAAAGTCTGGCCAGAGATGGAGCCACTATTAACAAAGGAAGGATCAAGCCTCTACCACTTACCACTTCAAAATATATAAGAATAATCGATTAAGCTAAGAGTATTCACAGGATGTATACACTAATAGGTGTATGTCTTGTTAAATATATACATGTTTGTCGAGAGATTATTTAATTTTTGTCGCCTGAGGCAACTAATTTACTATGCACCCCGTGCTTACCCCACTGGTGCTGTATAATCCTATGGGTTTAGCGCTTCCCCATGATTACAATAATAGTAATAATTGGGCAGGTTAGGAGTATGTGCCCTCATGATTTTTTGGGGCAACATCTTGCAAAGCTCCCTTTCATCTGTCCTTTAACCTTTGTAATTTAAGTGTGTTGGCATGAAGTTATGCTTATTTTTAATTGCATCATTCCCTATCATCAGTGATGTGCCATCCCTTATCCATGAGTGCAAGTGTGTGAAACATGAGAGTCTTGGAAGACACCTCCATCCACTGTTAAGAGGAGACTCTCGGGCCACTCTTCATCCTTATCAAGTCTAGTATATACCACCCTGTTCAGAACTACTTTTTCCTATTTCCTGAATAATCCTGATGATATTCGGGTTTGTAGTTAACTCTTATATGAGAAGTACTTCAATTATTCTGCCAGAGGTAGCTATGGTAATGGTGTTTAGGTACAGGTACACATAAGTACAACTATCATATGTAAATTACCTAGGATAGTCCAAAAAAAGTCAGATGCTATTGTGATTTGCCAAACAATACATGACTTAATACTAACTGTTGATTACATCTGGCATGTATCTCATGTCAAAATAAATATAAATATTGCTAATATCCTCCCTAAAAAATACACAATAACTGCTGCAAGAATAAGCATAACATGCATGCGTTTTATGTTGTAATATAACGTGTAAGCTTCAACCAGGACCGCCGCTCATGGGAGGTTCCTTGACGCTAGTGAGGGGCTCTTGATCTAGGGAATTGGATCTGTGCTCCAGTTCCCTGAATTAAGCCTGAATATCTTCCATCCCCCCCCCCAGACGTTGTATAATCCTACGGGTTTAGCGCTTCTCCATGATTATAATAATAATAATCCAACCAGGACCTAAACTCTATATTGACCGATCTAAGGTACTGGACCTATCTCTTTCCTTGGATTAAACTTGTCTCCCATTGCCCCAGGCTCGGTCTAACCACTAAGGGTTTAGCGCCTCCCTTAAAATGTAATAATACCATATATAAGGCAGCCATCATCGTAGATGTTTTCCGATTTTTTTTATTTCTGGGTCATGTATACATACCACAGCACTGAGCTGAGAAATTGTCAAAAAAAAAAAATAATTGCTGAGGACTATTAAGGGTGAGTCGGGTATAAAATATGAGAGGTCACCTCTAAGCAAACCAAGTATATTGAAGAAGAGAAGGGAAATTTGCTAATGTTAAACGCCGTTATTTGTCAGAGTTACAGCTTTCCCAGCAGACTCCAACTGTACTCGCCTAGTTGTGGTTGCAGGGGTCGAGTCATAGCTCCTGGCCCCGCCTCTTCACTAGTCGCTACTGTGCTTGTGAACCAAACATTATTATTATTATTATTATTATTATTATTATTATTGTTATTATTATTATTATTATCATTATTATTATTATTATTATTATTATTATTATTATTATTATTATTATTATTATTATATTACTCTGAGAGTTTAATCCATATTTTTAGGAATTACGGTATTCTTGACTGATGTACACGTGACATGCAGTCTTAAGATAAGATAATTACTCTCGTGTAGTCCATAAGCTTTAAATCTAATAAAAGAACACTCATGTTGAATTGGACTCACAGTTAAATTTATATTCTTTACTTTAATTACTATTACAGATCAGAAAACCCATAGGAGGCACAGCATTTCCATGTTGAATGTCAAGGACCCTAGTAAGTCATTCGGCTGACTTTTTGGGGGGATTATCTTAGGTAATTAACACCAAACTTACTATGGAAATCAAAGATCCCTATGAAAATCAAGAACCCTAATGGAAATCAAGGATCCCAATAGAAATCAAGAACCCAAAATGGAAATAAGTCACATTGACTTTTATGGGTTATCATCAGTAATTTATACTATGTATGATAATTGTACTTGTATACCTGTGTCTAAATAAACTTACCTTACTAATGCTATACTTACGAAGCCCCTTAAAGAAGGTTCCTTGATATTAGTGAGGAAGGGGGGATCTTGATCTAAAGAAATAGACCAAAGATCCAATTCCTTGAATCAAGCCTGAAAGCCTTCCATTCCCCGACCCACCATACGACCCCTACGGGTTTAGTAGTCTCCCCACGAGTATAATAATAATAATATAGTTGTATATAGTGACCCCGTGTGAGGGTGGAAGTGAGTGTTGTCAGCTGCTGTCACCATCATTGACGGGACCTCTAGCAACCACCCGCCTCCACCTTTATTCTTAAACAAAAGCCTTCCAGGACAGACAAAACCCTCTAGCAATGACGACTCCAGCACCCCAGGTGGACCTGCCATGGTGGCAGAAATATCTGGCTCGTGGTGTTGGTTGTGGAGGAGGCATAAGTGAGTACAATATTGAACGCCATGGAACCATGCCTGACGTTTTAATTTTTTCCTATTTTATTGCTTATTTTCAGCAATAGCAGCAGTAATTTGTTCTTTGCCCCCATTTTTTAATGTTTCATAACATTTTTTTTGGTTTTCCGGTAGTTGTAGCAGTTATTGCAATATTGTCTGGCCTAGGGGCTAGGCGGGACACAGTACGGGACTGCCAGCCTAGACAAGATTCTCTGGAGTTTTCTGATGTTGTGCGAAGTTGAAAGTTAGATGGCAGTAGTCTCTTGGGTTTAAAAATGACTCCTAAGTAAGTTTATTTAGGTACAGGTACACAAAAGTTATCATATCTAGTGTAAATTACCCAACAGGTATAACCCAAAAAAGTCAGTATGACTTATTTCCATTGGGGTCTTTGTGGTTCTTGTATGAGGAAAATTTGAAGGAATCATTCAAATTGGCAAAGTATAATTAGGTGCAGTTTTACATAATTTTGAATAATTACAATTGTCTTAGTAACATGTGCAAATTAGGAAGAGGCATATAGTTAGGTGTATAATTTATCTTGGCTAATAAGTCCCCTTATGGGTTTAGCACTTAATTTTATAATAATAATAATAATAATAAAATTTAAGGGATAATTATTTGATAATGAATGAATTTTGTTGTTTGTCTGTTTTTTTTATAGCTTCTTCCATTATTTGTTTCCAAAGAATTGTTTCTTTACCTGGAGAGAGTTCCGGGGGTCAACGCCCCCGCGGCCCGGTCTGTGTCTATGTTCTTCGGAGGGTGGGTGGGCGGGGGGCTCGATATACTGTATATCAGTCTATGGTGGCTCATAAATTCCAACAACCATTTTTTTAACATGGTTGATTATCTCAAAAATAAATAAATAATACTTGTAGGTATTTTATTTCCCCATAAAAATGTTGATGTGTATAATTTCGACTTATATAAAGTGTCTAGGAATATTGCTTTCAAGGGGAGTGAATGCTTTGATGATAGTGAAAGACTTTTGATCCAAGGAATTGAGTATAATACATTACTGTAATATTAATGTCAAATAGCTTATTATTTAGAAGACAAAACAAAGTAAATTTAGCCAAGGCAAGATAGTGTTGTAATAAGAAATACCATCACAATGATGGTACTGTACTCTTTAAAGGACCCCAGTGGAAATTAGTCACCTTGACTCTTTTGGGTTATCCTAGATAATTTACACTATGTATGATAATTGTACTTATGTACCTGTGCCTAAATAAACTGCTTACTTGCTGAAACATATGCTCTCTCATTTTTTTTTTTTAATACTGAGAGAACACTTAGTGTTTAGAATTAGTAAATATTTAAATTACAGTTTAGTGTAGTACTTAAGTAATGGTCTTCCTCTTAACCTTACTGTTATTATATTTCTCATCATTCAGTAATCTCTTGGCACTCAGTTTGTATGGTTGTGAGACTTAAACTAGCAATAAATCTTGGCCAAATTTTGTGATGTTGCACTTGTAGCCACTAGTGTAGGTTTCCATCTGCTTCAGAGCAAACATTGATGAGCAATTTATTCCACAGATTGGATTAGCTTAGGTAATGTGCATGCTATATTTGCTTTAGCAAACAAGTGTAACGTTAGAAATTTGCAGAGGCAAATTGGATTGCATGAAATGGTGTACATGTTGTGGACTTTTTTTTTAAAATATATACTGTATACAGTGTATTTATAATGTTTTCAAAATAAGGTTTTTAATTTGAATGTGCATTCATGGTTTCCCAGTATCTTGTTAATTTTAAAACAAAGCAGAGAGTGACTCTTTATAACTATATAAAGATGGAATGGGGAGGGAGCAGAGGAGTGAAAGGCAGGTAAATTTTGTTTTATCATAAAACATTTTAGAGACTGGAATAGGAGATTGGGGCTAATTCTTTATCACCCCTAATGCAATCAAACCATATCTAATTATTATTGTTTTCCTTTTATTTTTTACAGTTGCTATGGGGCTTGGAGTGTTCAACTGTCTCACTATCACTCCCATGTGTATTGTTGCAGGTATCTGGCAAATGTAAGTATGGAAGGAGAGACTTTCAGCAGTTTGATAGTAAATTATCAGACCTAGATTATTATAATCCTGGGTAATACAGCACTTTGTCACTGGGAGGTACTTAGTTTGTCTTTTTCCCAGGGCAGGGTAGCTCACATTCCTTGGGTCATTAGTAGGAACTTTCCATCTATGCTTTCTAATAGTCCTAGCTTTATAAATCTTTCACTGTATGTTTGCAATTTTATGAAGCATATATTGTGGAAAGTTTCATGGTATTCAATTAAATAAATCAAATAATTTTATTTTTAAGCTTAAAATGGGCCTAATGGTATTGACATCAAAGCATCCCACCTAACAATTTTAGTTAAAAAAATCATAACTTAATTTTCAGTACACTATTCAGAAACTGTTTTAGGCTGTTTATGCAATCTTTTTAATAAATACTGAATAAGATACCTAAAAATATATAAAACAATTTTAAACAAAAAATAGAGGCATTCATGAGGTTTGCCTAATATTATTTTGTGCAGCTAATGTCTACAGCATATCCCAAGAGAAATCTAATATCTTTATAAGTAAAATATAAAACACCAAAGGATAAAAATCAAACTTTTCGGGAGCCATCACCTTTCCCCGTCAAGTCTGGTGGAGCAGTGAGAGGTTGTCCACTGTGTGATGCCTTCACTCCTCAGAACAGCAGAATTATAAATATCTAATTTTCACAGATTACCTATGGACCATTCAAGAGGTCACTATCTGCACAGCCTGGTCCCAGACTAGGCTCTCCTGACTCACGTAATCATAATAACTCAAAAATAACCTGCACATAGGAGAGAGGAGCTTACGATGATGTTTCACTCTGACTTGGACCATTTACAAAGTCACACCTCTCTCCTATGTTTGGGCTATTTGTATATTGTTCCAGTCATGGTATTGTGCCTTTTTGTTACTCATAATAACTCGATTGCAAACAAAACCGTTTGACAGCCTGATCAGTTAGGCTGTTAGCATTGACTGCATGGAGTCTAATGCTGATCAGAAGTGACTAGGAATTTATGAAGTTCCTTCCTAAGGACCGCTAAGTTATCTGTTGGTAATTTTTGGTATTATTATACATTATAAGATAAATAAGTATAGTTACCAGTATGATGGCATAAATGCAAGATTGCAAGTTCCATAAAATGACGTTAGATTGTCATATTGAAATAAATTTAACCACTGAAATGTTACACGCTGCTTGGAGTATTTTACATATTTTATCAGGCTCCTTTGAAGGAAACCAGACCAAAAAAGTGTTGAAACAATGTGAAATATTAATAGCAATTTGCCACATAGCCCAATGAAAATGCTAACATTGCTATTGGAGAACAGGAAGAAGTGTATAAAATTATGGCACCGTAGCAGGTCAAGATAACCCAGAGGTTAGTCATCCAGGATAACCCAAGAAAGTCAGTGTGTCATTGAGGACTGTCTGTCTTACTTCAGTTGGGGTTCTTCAATCTTGTCCCACAGGATGTGACCCTCACCCATTGAGTAACATCAAGGTACCCACTTGCTGCTAGGTGAACATGGATAGCAGGTGCAAGGAAACATACCCAACGTTTCCACCTGGCCGGGGTATGAACCACACACTCAGTGTGTGAGGTGTGAGGCTAAACAAAAGACTAGCAAATGTTAAGATTTACACATGATGAACACCTGCTTGGCTGAAAGCAGAAGTCATACACCTCTTAAATTTAATGCTGTGTTGCATCACAGGATCAATCCAAAAACTCTTACTCTTATAAATTATGTCTAACTTCATCTTGCATATTTTTTTTTTTTTTTTAAACAAAACATAATTGTTATTGACTTTGTCCTTGTTATTTAGCATCTCAGCTGCTTATCAAGTAATTGCCTACTTACAGCTACAGGAGCAGAGCTATGTTCATGATGCCCCATTTTCAATGATTTGTTCATCACGCAGTAATTTTTTTTTTTACAGTATTTCATCAGTAGCATTTTTCTCCTCAATTTACAACTGATGTTCAATAATATGACTGAGTTAGAGAGGGTGTAGGGAAAATAGATACATGTATCTTAATGGGTGTGTGAAATGTTGATTTTTTTCATGTTGGTCATTTTGTGCCAGAGTGGACCACTTAGTGTGTGTGTAATGATCTGCATCTTTTTTGCTTCATTATAAGTTATATATCAGTTTGCAAATCCTAATATATCTTCGCATTCTTTTCATATTTTTCATTATAATTTGTCAATTATGTATTTCCACAGGCTAGCAGCTTTTATTGTAATCTCTGCTGAAGCTCCATGCTGCTGTATGTTTATTGATTTTGTTCAGCAGTATTCAACCTGGGTGGAGGGTAGACAACACTGGCAGAAAGCTGCTTTCTACATCATGTGAGTTGAAGTGATGACGGTTCTAAGTCAGGGATGCACAACCTCCTCGGTCACCAAATGTTAATAGCAGAAAAAATAAACCATGCAGTTAGAGGCAGTTGGAGGTATTCAGTGTCACAAGTTAGTGATAGTTTAATTTTTTATACGAGACATCAAGTGTTGTAATTTTGCCATGCATGCAGCCCACAGGTTGTACATCACTGTTCTAGGTTATTACCCATTTGTTTAGTGAACATTTTAACAACTCTGTTTTGGTTTAAGTTTGGAGGATATAACAAAATTTCCACTTGACCGTTTATTTTAAACATACCACTATAAATACAAAACTACATATCCAAAAAAGATTAATTAAAATTCAGTCACAATAACATTGCTGGAAAAATTCACACACAAAAAAACCACACTTATGGTCCAGGACAAGCCTAAATGTCATCTTAGCATTCTGTTCTTGTGTTATTTGTGAATTAGTGAGGTTAAAACTTCTGTACGTATATATAATATAGTCTTGACATAAAAGAGTCGGATACACTTTTTTTTTTTTTCAGCAAACCAGCTGTATCCCACCAAGGCTGGGTGACCTAAAAAGAATAACGATTGGAATTATTTCTAATGAAAAAATATACTATTTCAGCTTGGCTCTTCCAGCTGTCATCATGTGCCCAGGACTGGCTACTATATTTGGCTCGGGCCTCATCTTCTTGTGTGGGGTTTTGTATGGAATGATGGCCCTTGGAAAAAAGTAAGCAATCTAGTATTACTTGGTACACAAAACTTGATATTTTAGTTTTTATGGAAAGATAGGTCAGCTCTATACAATGCAAAGGATTAATTTAATGCATTTTCACCAGGTATCACCTTAATTTTTGGGGGAATCATAAAGCCATTGGTGCAGTATTAAATATTGCAGACATTTTGCTTTTCAGTAAAATTTTTATAAACAATTTGCAGTAATTCAGATTTGTAGTTGAATAACAGACTAGATTATTTGTCTACTCGTTCTGTATCACTGTTGTTTTCTCAGTTGTACTTTATAATTGGGTTTCCTCATAAGTTTTTTTGTGGGTTATTAAGTATTATTGTATAGGTAACATTTCCCTTACAGTGCTCTGTTCTATATAAAAAGTGTATTTTCCTTTTGGTGTATTTTATTCTTTGTGAAAATATATCTGTCCACTTTCTCACAGCATTCCTCTACCACTCTCCCACTGAGGCAGGGTGACCCATAAAAGAAACACTTTCACCATCCTTCACTCTATCACTGTCTTGCCAGAGAAGCTCTAGATACTACACTTCAGATGCCCTTCCAAACTGCAAATATCCCCACCCCTTTAGAGTGCATTCACTATACTTTCCACCTCCAGGACTCTCTCTAACCAGTTTCCTTGAATCCCTTCATAGGTTGGATAAATACATGAGTGGGTGTGAGTTGGGCCTGACTAGCTTGGGCTACCAGGTCTGGTGCCGTGCTCCTTCCTTAAGTGGAAGTGACCTGACTAGGTGGTCATTGTTCTAGGCCGGGGAGGGGGGGGTGGCGGCATGGACCTGCTTTGCATGGGTCAGTAGGCCTGTTGCAATGTTCCTTCTTTCTTATGTTCTAAAATGTTACCTTGCTTGCACTCCAACAACTCATCAGGTCAAAAAAAAACATGTCTCCACTCACTCCTAATACGCTCATACACGCCTACTGGATATCCAAGCCCCCTGCATGCAAAACCTCCTTTACCTCCTCCATTTTTCCTCTACTACAGATTTATATACCTTCCAAGTCATCCTAGTTTGCTCCATCCTCTTTAAATGTCCAAACCACCATAACAACTGTTCCTTAGCTGTCTGGAACATATTCCCTTCAGACATGACATCACTGCCTCCAACCTCCTCCTCATTGCAGAATTCACAACCCCTATGCTTCACGCCCATAAAAGGGTGTTGGTACCACTATACACTCATATTCCTTTCTTTGCCTTCATGGAAAGGATTCTTTGTCTCCACAGGTGCCTTAATGCACCACCCATCTTATTTTCTTCATCAATTCTATGGTTTACTTCATCTTTCATAAACCCATCTGCCGACAAGACCCCTCCCAAATATCCGAGCACATTTACTTCCTCCATATTTCATCTGAAGGAGGGGTGTTAATGTTGCAGTTTAAAAACTATAGTGTAAAGCACTCTTCTGGCAAGACAGTGATAGAGTGAATGATGGTGAAAGTTTTTCTTTTTCGGGCCACCCTGCCTTGGTGGGAATTGGCCAGTGTGATAATAAAAAATAAATTTAATAATATTTCATCCTGCCAATCTGATATCCAGTCTTTCATTACCTAACTTGTTTGTTACCCTCATCACCTTGCTCTTTCCTCTGTTCACTTTCAGCTTCCTTTCTTTACATACACACTGATGTATGTAGCTTTATTCTCAGTATCCAGAACCTTTGATTGTCAATCCCATACAATCGTGTCATAATGACACGATTGCAAACAAAATCTGCGATCAGAGAGTCATAAAACTCCAGATTGACGCTAGCTGGACCAATGGCTAACGCGTCGGTCTGAAGTTTTATGACTCTGATCATGGGTTCTAACCCCGCCCATGGTATGGTTTAATTAAAGTTAGGATTGTATTGCAGTTTTTTTTTATTCTGTGAAGAACTATAATATCAAATTTGCATGGTAATTTTTATCATATTTGACAGTTTGGTGTAGGTTAGTGACCAACTTGATGTGCATTACAGAATTTTTCCTATCTTTATTATAATCAATTTCAGTGTTGAAGCAGAAGGCTAGAGATTACTTATCCTTGTTTTCTTCTAATGATATGAAGGATCATCATGCTTATGCATTGCCTAGATTTTTAAAGGATGTTAGAGAAATCGACATACCCTGAAAAAAATAGTTGCTTAATATCTTATAGCTCTGTGAGCAACCTTTGCACCAATTTGGTAATTTTCAGCTTTTGTGTGGTCATATTTTGAGTCTCCCACAAATATCATAGCTTGGAGGTTTCAATAAAAAAAATGTCCATATAGTGGAATTTTTTAAATGTTCAAAGTACAAAAATTGTCAGGTTTCACAAAAATAAGTTATGCATGCACACAGTAAACCCTTACCAGTTGCATGTTTTGATGTTTGTGGTTTTGGTCATTTTAACCCCCCCCCCTTCCTTCCTGACCTCCCATAACTGAATGTCAAAGTGTACAAAGAAGCTCCATTTGTGGGTTTTCTTAAATCTACTTGAGGGTTTTCTCATACAGATATTTATGGTGATTTATTGAAAATTAAACAAACTTTGCTTAATAAAAGCACTTTGCTCATCCCCAAACACATCAGAGTATACAGTTTTTCAATGAAAAATCATAGAGATTAAGAAGATTTCTTATCAGAATGTGGAACTTTAGGATTTAGTTACATACTGTGCTTGCTCATCCTCACTGACATTTGCTACCCTTCCCTTCCCTTCTTGCTCATTAACCATCCTTCCCTCTTGTTTTTTCTCCTTTTTTTTCTAATTTTGTAGTTCCTCTTTTGCTTGTTCATTCATTAACCACCTCTCTCTTCCATGTTAGCTCTCCTTCTTCTGTTGTATTTGCTCATTCACTTGCTTGCATGCCATCATTGTCTGCCTACCTGCTTGTATGCCATCATTGTCTGCCCATATGCTTGTATGCCATCAACCACCCTTTCAGTAGCTTGATTTCTCTCAAGCTTTTGAGTTCAGAGGAGCAAATCCTAAAGAGTCCTCCAGTTAAATATTTCTTTTGTTGCAAGACTAATCTTTAGAGTTTTCTTCTACAACCACTGGTCCTTAACTCATATTTCGTGTTTAATTAGTGGCTTGCTAGTCACAGTTATGCTGTTCAGAGTTTTCATGAAACATAACCTCATGAATGGTAAGAGTTTACTAAACACATTCTGCATAAAATATATATATATATATAGGAGGGCCCCGCATACACAGCACCTTTTTGGTGTTCCACGTTTTCGTTGGCTTCAGATTGAGCCATTGTTTATTATGTTCCACCCATTGGCAATAGTCGCTGGCAGGTGGAACAATGTCTCAATTAAAAGCCAATGAAAGAGTGGAACACCAAAAATAGGGGCTGTATATGCAGGGTCCTCCTGTATAGAGATGATTTATACAAAGATGCACTGCTAATTGTAATTGTTAAGTGAATCCCATTTTCTTTAAACTATTCTGTAAATGGAGATGTGTTTCTGGGAAATTTTTTTTTTCTAAAAACATTATGTATGTGCCAGTGGCTTGTATACAAGGAATGAACTTCATGGTTTATCCCAGCCACCACAAATAAAATAAAGCACACATCACTCAGCAGTGCTGGTTGCCTTCCAAGGTTGAGGATTTGTGAAGAGATTTGGTGGAGTTGGGTTTTATTGTAGATCATATGGAGAGCGTGTGTAATTTTTTTTTATTTTTTATTAGCACACTGACCGATTCCCACCAAGGCAGGGTGGCCCGAAAAAGAAGAACTTTCACCATCATTCACTCCATCACTGTCTTGCCAGAAGGGTGCTTTACACTACAGTTTTTAAACTGCAACATTAACACCCCTCCTTCAGAGTGCAGGCACTGTACTTCCCATCTCCAGGACTCAAGTCCGGCCTACCGGTTTCCCTGAATCCCTTCATAAATGTTATTTTGCTCACACTCCAACAGCACGTCAAGTATTAAAAACCATTTGTCTCCTTTCACTCCTATCAAACACGCTCACGCATGCCCGCTGGAAGTCCAAGCCCCTCGCACACAAAACCTCCTTTACCCCCTCCCTCCAACCTTTCCTAGGCTGACGCCTACCCCGCCTTCCTTCCACTACAGACTGATACACTCTTGAAGTCATTCTGTTTCGCTCCATTCTCTCTACATGTGTGTAAATGTGTTTGACAATGTGAGAGAGAGATTCCAGAGAACAGTGATGATTTGCCTCATCTGAGGAATCAGCTGTGTACTTGGAGAACAAACAGCATTCAAACCTCATAGCATACTAGTCCTAAAATAGCAGGCCAGTTCTCTTAAGCCCTAGACCTTGCAGGCTAGGTTTATTTTTGTACATTAGAAAAGTTAGCATGGGCCCCACTAGTGTAGAAGTATTGCTGTGGGTCAGATTGCTTGTAGTAGGTTGTACTCTTAACAGTAGGTCTATTTTGGGACTATTGTGGATATAGTTATAGTAGTTTTAAATATGCTGTTTTTTTTTTTTTTTTGAAAGTAGTGCTGCAATACAGGACAGAACACAGATGCAGAGCAAAGCAGTGACAGTAAAAGCTTAGTCTGCACCTGTTTCTCCATCACTGTTGGTAGTATGGCTTTGTATCCTCTGCAACAGTGTTGAGACCAGTTTGAGCCACTACAACATGTTACTAAATGGGGAACCGAATCCTAAATGATTTTACCCCTTAATATATGCCTTGTTACTCAACAGAATTATGTTAGTAATAATGACAGAATTACCAACAAATTATTAGGTAAATTGGACACATGTGCAAGTAATGTGACATTCTATTGTGACAACATTGCCTCAATAAACTGTCACGTTAGTTGTGTTTGCGTCCATTTACTTAACAGTATTGTTGATTTGTTCTGGGTTATTACTGTTTAGTTTTGTACCTTATCAACACATTGATAAACCTTATTGGGCTGCAGATTTGCACATGGACCTAGATAAGGTTGATCATGTTTGCTGTAGTGCTTATATTGTCATCTCTCCATTTTATATTGAGGTCTTACACTA